TCCTCAAAATAAGTCAAAAGAAATCACTTTAATCAATCATAACATCTTGTGATGATCCTCCCATATATGGTTGAATGAGACAGCCCTTAAACCAAGCCAAACAAGATCCTTATTCCCCTTAAATCATTCCACTAAGGACATATGACAAATGGACATTATTTTCTTGATTTGTAATAGGATTATGAGTGGCTGTATTCCTTGTGCATGTATGTATATATTCGGCCATAGGCCTTGGTAAAAAAAAAACAGTTTGGTAATCTCATTTCTATCAAATAATACACTTGTTGTATTCTTTGTTTAAATTCCTAATTCTATATCTTAAGGGTGGTTACCTTAAGTGTGAGTTTAGGTTCTAGATATTTAATTAAGTGTGTTATATCTTAATTAAATTCTAGACTTAACCCCAAGTTAAGATAAGAGTGTGTTATATCTCTTAAACACCAACTTGGTTTATCCCCAAAATAAAACAACAAAAGAATTTCCTGCCTTTTTTTTTTCAGCCCATCGATTCCCTCCTCTAAATACAATTCATTTTCACTCTTCCTTATACAAATTATAACCTAAAACCTATCCTCCCTTTGCTGCCATCTTCTATCAGGACATCCCTCTTCTAAATACTTTCACCCCTTTACTTAAATCTTCTTCCAAAACCAACCCTAGATACCTACTGTCTCCCTGAATCCCTTCTATCCTGATTCCCCCTCCTTCCACCTTGAGTTGAAGCCTAACATTAGTGATAATGAGTGATTAGCCATTTGCCCAGCTTCTGCTTTTCTGGAGCAGAAGAACCCCAAAACAAAGAGAGTTGAGCAGGGACAAGCTGGGGAACGTATCCTGGCATAGTCAAAACCCAAAAATTGAAAAGAGAAAAAGGGAAAATACATTGCAGATGGAAGCCAGAAAAGACAATGTTTCTGAGAAAGAAGAATCATAAAGAAAAGCTAAAAATCTAGAAATGTTAAGATAGAAATCCACACCTCGATCATTCCATTTTTTATGGAAGATATTGATACATCAATGAGAAAAAAATATGTTGGCGGCATTGGAGGCCTGACCATGTATTCAGCTGGAGCAATAAACTCCACACAGCCTGTGGTCAGCTCAGGGCGCTGATTCAAATCAATTCTTCTACCAGTGGCATCCAAGTGGGCAAAATAATCACCATGAACTGCATATGAAAACTTTGAATGGATGAGCAGGTGCATTTCCGTAAAGCACACATACAAACACCTTAAATCAGTAAACAGAATCAGATATACAGTACACAAACAACACCTTTGAAATTGCAAGCGTAGCAAATTCCATATTATTATGCAAAATGCCTTCCAAATCAATTCAGCCTATAAGCTATATGGCAATGTAACATTTCCATTATTTGTAGCACAGGGTTGAGCCAAGTCCAGGTGTGATTTCAGCACCTAAAATTATCAAAGATAGAGTACTTCCAAAATTAAGTGCAGTTGTATTTTGGTGCAAGGGCTTCAATCCCTAAGGCCCAACCGACTACCCAACTACCTCAGCCCTAGATCTCCAAATGCTCCTATCTAAGGTCATATCATTCATGGGTCTTCCGCGACAAGTCATGTCTAATCACCTCTCTCCAATTTTTCCTAAGTCTACCCCTTATCCCACCCTCGACCACTACCGTAAGCCTCTCACATCTCCGCACTAGGGCCTCAATGCTTCGCCACTTCACGTTCCCAAACCACCTCAACCAACTTGTCATAGTTTATCCTCCACAGGCATCACTCCCGCATGCATTTGACGGATGTGGGTTTCCATTACCGCCCAATACTCCACTCTATAAAGCATAGCATAGCTGGTCTGACAATGGACCGGTAGAACTTCCCTTTCATCCTTGCAGAGATCTTCTTATCGCAAGGGACCCATGAAGCGAGCTTCCAATTCCCATACCATGAACAACATCATTGTATATCTCCCCATCTGCGTGAATGACAAGACTAAGATACCAAAACTTGTCACTCTTAGGCACTGGGTGTGACTCAATCGTAACATCCAATTTGACTCGATAGCCCTGCCAATGATGCAACATTCCAAGTGCTTGGTCTTAGTCCTGTTCATTATGAAGCCATAGGATTCGAGGGAGTGATGCCACAACTCCAACTTGTCATTGAGCCCCTCACGTGTCTCATCGATCAGCACAATATTGTCAACAAAAAGCATGCACCAAGGGACCTCCCCTTGGACACCCTGTGATTGAACATCCATCACCAAAGCAAACAAGGACTAAGGGCAGATCCTTAATGTAACCCCACCTCGACAAGGAAACCCCTAAGAGTCTTCACCCTAGTCCTTGCCATGTCATAGATATCTTGGATTGCACGGATGAACGCAATTGGGACCCTTCTAAACTCAAGAAACCTCCACAAAATCTCCTTTGGCACCCTGTCGCTTGCCTTCTTGAGGTCAATAAACACCATGTTAAGATCCTTCTCAACCTTATATGCTTCCATCAACCTCCGCAAGAGGTGGATGGCCTCTGTGGTCGACCGGCCAGTAATGAAATCAAACTAGTTCTCCAAAATGCACACCTCCTTCGGCACCTAGCCTCTATGATATGCTCCCAAACTTTCATTGTGTGGCTAAGAAGTTTGATGCCTCTATAATTACCGACACTCAGGATATCACCCTTACCCTTGTATCCGCAGACTTCCAAAACTTTACTGGAGTCTCATTTGACCCCATGGCTCTCCCCCTTCTCATCTTGCGGATGGCCCTCGCCACCTCCTCTTGACTAATGCACTAGCAATACCTAAAGTCCTAGTGTCTCTCCGACTACCCCAACTCACCCAACTCAAGCCTCCTATCTCCCCTCGCATTCAGAAGGCGATGGAAGTACTCCCCCCGCCAATAGGACATCTCTGCTCCTTTGAACATAACACTGACGTTGCTACTCTTCACACATCTCACATGCTCCGAGTATCGGGCCTTCCTCTCACGCACCTTTGCTAGCTGAAATAGCCTCTTATCGCCGCCTCGCTCTTCTTTGTCCTTATAAAGGCGTCCAAAGGCTGCATTTTTTGCTCTTGTAACCTCTAACTTAGCTTCATTTCTGTGAATCTCTTAAAAACTACCTTATTAGCTTCTACTTTACTTTGAACCACATCACTCCACCACCAGTCACCTCTATTTGGCTCCTTTTACACCTAGGAACACCTAACACTTCCTGAGCAGCTTCTCTAATTCCGTTTGTAGTCGTATCTCACATGTTATTTGCCTCCTCGGAAAACTCCCATGCAGTTTTTTCTTGAGCCCTAGCAACAAACTCTAGAATATTCCCCCCATCCAAGCTCCACAAGCATATATGTGGTGGACCACCTGCCTTCCGCATGTCACCAGTAACTTATGTTGGGTGGTAAGGTTCTCACTCAGGATTACTTTAGAAAAAAGGGGACATATTAAAAAATAATATACTGAGATTAGCTTCTCCAAGTCAAAAGATGAGTTTACCAAAGCATTTACAACATTGAGTGGGAAAGTTCAGTAACGTTTCAAAATGATTCATGATCTACAAAGTAAAAATAAATTTGCAAATATTGAGAGTGTAAATAATATACTCCCTTTGTCCCCAAAAGAATGTCAAT